TTATCACCAACTGACATGGACTATTCAAATGGAGCTCTGGATTTTTTTCTTAAAATGAAAGCAACACTAATTAGAAAAAGTCAAATGGTACTCAAAAGCTCTCAAGGTGCAGATCATTTTTGCCCATAAAAACACACTGAAGTGACTCCATGTCGTGGTAAGTTATCAAATTATGGTAAGAACATTACAGAGATTAAAATGTTGCATAAGAGAGAGAGAAAGCAGCATGAGTCAGGGGTTTGGGGAAATGTGAGTCAGACTGAAGGGAAGGAGCCAAAAGCATAGAGAATGAGGGCCTAAGCTGACACTTAACGGACACCACAGAGATGTACACCATTGCCTCAATTAGTTCAGGGAGAAAATCAACTACATGGTTCCACAGATGGGAGGTCAGCATGATATACAGAAGTGAGCAAAGATTAGACTGGATTATTCAAAGCAATTTACACTGCCAATGTCAGCAAAAGAGGAACCTACAATAGTATAAATCACTAGGAGGGAGAGAACAGCCACATTTATGAAAAATGAGGAAATCGCCAAATATTGCCATTAGCTATTCTTAATCTATTAGAATGATGAAATGTGTTGTGATGTTTTAGAAAACACATTCTATTATTTTGTTCTTTGGTCATGTTAACACTAGGATCTGACCACAGAGTTCAGAGCTGCTCACTTTGGCATTTCATCCAAACTCTACATTTCCACGTGTTTCACAAATTCCCCCAATCATACACTCCACTAGGCTCTTCACACATAGCCCCTGTATCCTCGCTGACTTCATCAGCCAGCCGTTCTTATGCTTATTTTGTTCTTTAGCAATATGTTCTACTACGGCCTGCCTTGCACTCTTAACAACCTCTTTGCCTACAAATCCATGTATCTCACCTTCTTCAAAATGCACCTCAGAAGTTACCTCCAATGGCCACCAGCCTCTCATGCAGCTTTATTCCCCATAGCTTCTGGACTTCTGCACTTACTGCTTTACATCATTTCCCATTCCCTGACCTTATGCTGCTGTTTTTCTCAGATTTTGCTTGTTCCTCTGCCTGTACATTTCTAGTTCCCTAAGATAAAAAACACTGACCCTACTTTCCTTAAACCCTAGACACCTGTCTCAACAAAACGTAATGACTTATTCATCTATGTCTTGAATAAATGTTTACTGAAATTTTCTCATGTTTCACACACTACATGCACTAGTAATACAGGAAAGACTACCACACAGACCCACTCTCATAGAGCTTAGGTCCAAGGACCAGAGAATGTGTTAACTGCTGAGCAAATTAGAGAATTAAACAAAAACATCAACAACAAACTCATCTCCCTGGAGCCCTTTGTCCAATTGCCAGGAAATCATAGCTGACTTGAGTTGTATTTTCTTTATAAATAAAGCATTTTGTTTTCCAGTGCAAATAGTCTGCAATCAGTGCAGGAAACTGATTTTTCTTATACAAGATGAAGGCACTTGCAGAAAGCAGGAAGAACTGGAGTTGCAGAAACAGTCTTAGATGAGCCAGGACTTTTGAAGCATCCACACAAGGATGGGAATTTTTATGTTTGTGTATTTAGTGATTTCCATATGGCACTGAACCGATATCTAAAACAAACAGAAATGCATGCAAATGGAAGTAAACATAAAACAGTCTAACACTGCATAACTGATTTTTGTATGATTTTGCATATTTGTTTAAATAAGCAACAAAGGTCTCAAAGTATAATTCATGAAATAATAAAATTAGGTTATGCAAATAAGCAAATAAGTGAACTTAGGAGTTGGAGATAATTCACAGATTTTCAGTCTATATAACCTTTAGTATTATAATATGCTAAAGCAAGTGAGAGAACCATTCTAATCTGCAGTCAGAGCAGCCACAAACGAAGTGTGGCTAATGGTTGCTTCCTGATCACATAAATTACTTGTTTGATTGGTTTATGAGTACAGGTAAATAAAAATTGTGATTACCAGTCAATCCTGGATTAGGCAAATGTTGTTGCAGCCTTGTCTGTTGCTGTTTGTGCGTTATTTATTTTTGATAAACAAAAGAAAATAATATAGTGGCCATGGATACAAGGGTATTTTATGTGGTTTTTATTTAATTCACTTAGTAGTTTTGATATAATAGTCCAGAAGGTAAACAGATTTGGGTTTTAAGAATGTATAGCACAGGTTTTCATATAAAATCCATCTAATGCCGACAAGCATCTCACCAGTGCATAGGATGCTGCTTCAGGCATCATGGCCCATATGCAAGTGGCTGGTTTCAAAACTTGGCTCCAGCTTCCTGCTAATGCAGAAAAGAGAGTGCTGGGTCAGTAGCTGTGCTTCTGCCGCCCATGTAGGAGACTTGAATTCAATTAAATCCTCTGGGCTTCAGCCTGATTCAGTCACACTTGCTATGGGCATTTGGGAAATGACCCAATGGATAAAAAAGGTCTCTGTCTCATGTAAATAAATTAATAATTTTTTTTGAAAAGCAAAACCCTACTTAATGACATATTAAATCCACTAGAAAGATTGGTTTGTTTATCAAAGAGAGTTAGAAAATAATAAGAAAGCAGGAAGGAAATTGGAGGATAGCAGGAATGTGATGGGGTGGAGGCACTTTGCAGAGATGTCTCCCAAAGAAGACTCCATCAGTGCTGGGGCCTCCCTTATCAGAGGCAGCAGCCAGCGGAGCCCATGATCTCCTGCCAGCATGTGCTGAGCAAACTTGCCACATCTGAATCTTAACATCTCAGGGCTGTTACCACTGCACATGCTGGCAAATGTTTTGACATAAAACAATAGGAATTCAGCTGTCATTTCTGCATTAGCGAGTCATAAAGCTCTGAAGAAACCCCAGTAGAAAGGCTTTCATCAAGTGCATATGAAAAACTAATGAAAGATTGAAAAAAACAGCAGATCATTTCAAAGCAAGTTGCTTGCAGCTTTGCCCATGAGGAGTACCTAAAAAGTACAATTTGTAATCACTGAGTTGAAAATAATAATAACAATGATGGTATAACAAATTTCAAAAAACAAAGTCTTAACCAGAACATTAAAATGAGGTACTAAGGCTGATGTAAATAGATGCTTTTATGGATTATTATCCAACAGACAGCCACACATCATTCAAATATTTTTTCCCTCTTTCTAAAGAGAAGAATCTGTTTCCATACCCAGCTAGATGAGACCGGTATGGAGGATAGCCCTCCTACAACCTAGGCTTCTTATATTGGGATAATGTAACTGCAGTAATTCTTGAAAATATAGAAAAATGAAAGGTAAAATCACACCATGGGCCATTTAAAGAGAAGACAGAAATTGAGAAAATTCTCATTAGTGATCGCTCATTTTTTTAACTGACCCTTGGTACTCTGTTTATTCCAAAGCACCTTAGATTTATCACAGTAATGATCTAACAGTCCCTTATCTGTCTCAAGCTTTCAAAAAGGATTTATTGCTTTTTATTTGAAAGAGACTTACAGAGAGAGCGAGGAAGACAGAAAGACAGAGAGAGATCTTCCACCTGCTGGTTCATTCTCTAAATGGCCACAACTGCCAGAGCTGGGCAAGTCTGAAGCCAGATGCTGCTTCTAGGTCTTGCATGTGGGCTCAAGGGCCCAAAGATTGGGCCATTCGCTGATGCTTCCCCAGATACATTAGCAGGGAGTTGGATAGGAAGTAGAGCATCCAGGACTCCCGCAGACAGAGAACTAACTTACTGTGTCACCACACCTCCACCTGATCTGTCTCAATTTTTAGGCAAATTTTTGTCACACAAATTACAATTTTCATGATTTAAAAAAATTTTCCCTTTACTATTATTTATTTGTAAAGTAGAGACAAACAGAACTTCCATCCTCTAATATCATAATCCAAGTTTCCCGCATGGATGACAGTAACCCAGTTACTTGAGCGATCAGCTCTTCCTCCAGGATCTGCACTGGCACGATGCTAGAATTAGAAGTGAACAGGGGTGGGAACTCAGACATCTCAATGTGGGACATGATCACACTCACTGCAAAGCTAAACACCCATTCCCAAGATTTATGATTTCTTTTAAATGAAGTTTAGTCTTCAGCTGTTGAAGAATGCCAAAACTGTGATCATTTCATTTATGCCATTTTGTGTAAGTATGGAAAAATTAAATTTCACATATAAATGACTGTAAATGTGAATGTACATATACAAAGTCATATCACATTTGATTCCAAAGAAATTATTTTTAACTTCTTTAGTTAGAAGTTACCATTTTTTACTTTTCTAGCACTGAAACATGCCCACTCCTTGCGGCACATTCATAAATTATCCCCAGAAGCAAAATGTTTTTGGAAAATGTATATGTTAAATTATACAAGTTTCACCTGTCCTGATTGAGTATGACCACATTGAATCCTTTGTATTTTGAACTTTACAATGAAAGACTCAGAGATATATGTTACCCTACCATCTTAAAACAAAAACAGGGAAATTTAATATTAAAATTTTAATATTGGGAATATGTTTAGAGTCTTACCAATAGAAATTATCTAAAATACAATATGTTGTGTGAAAAACTAGTATTGTACAACTTGTTTAAATTCTAAAATAGATAAAACAATGCTGTATGTTCTAATTGGCGTTCCCATATAGAATAGAAATGTAAAACACCTCAGGACCAGTCCCTAAGGGGATAATGAATGAGGATGCAAGGAGGTATTATCTATGCCTGAAATGTTTTTCTTCTCAAAGTGAACTGAGACAATCAAAGCAATGGATCAGCATTTGTTCAATCTGAGTCGTGTATACTAATCTCTAAAATTATTTCCTGAACAACAAAATTGTGATTTTAAACATTTTCTGCATAGCAATATTACACATTATGTGAAATAATGATAATTTAAAAATAAGAAATAAGAAACTTTCAAGAAAAAGATGGAGAGATGCAGTTGAAGAAAACTGTACTGGCAAAATGGAGGAAATGTTGACATCCTCTCAACTGACTAATAACCTTTTTTGTCTTGTATGTCTCTGACAGACATAGATGAGTGCACTGCAGGTACACACAACTGTAGGGCAGACCAAGTGTGCATCAATCTACGAGGCTCCTTTACATGCCAGTGCCCTCCTGGGTATCAGAAACGAGGAGAGCAGTGTGTAGGTAAGTGTCATGCGTTGGTAAGCAAAGACCCATCTCGACTGCCTAAACCTTGAACATTCAAAATTAAAGTACTAATTTGCTTTAAGAATATGTACTAATTCATTCATTGACTGACTACCTCTTTTCCACACTAAGGAGAAAGAACTAACCTAAAAGCTGGGTGTTATCATCAATAATGAGTTGGTAGGCAAACCCTACAAGCTGTATATGGAAGTCCTCTGTAAAGTGCAAGGAGCGAGTCTTTGACTGGAAGCTGGGGGAGTATGAACACGCTGAGGGCAGGGGCAAGGTGGGCTCCTGTCACTGCTATTTCACAAGTCTCAGGAGACTGCTCACACCATGTTGGGTGATAACAATTTACCATTTTTAAAAATCTGCAGCAATTAACAACCTAATTTAGGAAAATAATATACAGGAAAGTCCGCCAACACCCAAATTTCCCCATTGTATTAGGAATGTAAACATTTGAAGAAAAAAAATACAGAAAAAAAGATTAACCCAACCTACTCTAAGGTGCGCCAAAGAGAAAGGAACATTGTCATCATAGCCATCCATGATGAAGTAGGAGGGAAGTTCTTAAACTCACACAGCATCGTATGTTTTTTGGGCAGCTTCCTTCCCTCTGATCTTCAGTCACCTTGTTATATCAACACATTGACCTCCTCAAACATTGTAGGGTCTAGCTTTCCCCCTAATAACAGTTACCACAAGCATCATGCAATGTTGTACTTCAAGGTCTCGGTCCAACCTTTTTCAATCACCAAGAACTTTTCTTCCCGGCACACTGCTATTCCACAGCCAAATCCCAGCTCAGGGTTGCTTCCTCTGGGAAGACTTCCAAGGTCTACCCATACCTAATTAGTTACTCCTTCCTCATCAAATTACAATGAAGGATCCTTCACGTAAATTTCCAATCTGTTGAAGATTAGTCCTTCTGTAACATATAATAAATGTGTTGTGGTACTGTCAAATCAGTCTTTGCAATTATTAAGTATAGAGATCCAAATCATTCGTGCACCAGCAGCCTTGAGCAGCTGCATTCAGAGTAGCAAAAAGTTATAGATTTTGTATACCTTTCTTCGCTTGATAGCATCATTCCACAGAACAGTCATGTTTGTGTCCCATAGTCGACAAAAAATGTATGTATATTTAATATGATTAATCAGAACATATGTATTCTTAATACCCTTGAAAAAGTACAGTGCCTAACACAAGGCTAGCAAACAACAATGACTTAATGTCTGTTTGCTGATTGAGAAGACATGCATAATTTACTCATCACATATTTATTGAGAATCGACTGGGTTTAGGCACTACTCTAGATAATGTGTTATACAAATAGACAAATGAAATCATGATGTTCATAGAGTTACTGAAAAGTACCCTTTATACAAACTAACTAATGATACTAGCATCTGGTTAGCATACTGGAAACTAGGAAGTACTGTGCTCAAAATGTTCTTAATTACCACTATATTTCCATTCAGTCAAATAATGTTTATTGAGCACCTACTATGCCAAGCCCTATTCTAGGTGTTAAGCATATGTCAGTGAGCAGACCAAAACAAAAATCCTTTTTCTCTACCTCAATGAAAGGAGGCAGATCTTATTTGTCATGCATTGCAGTATGAGAAATAGAAAGCAAATAAACACATAACACAATATCTAGCAATCTCAAGGCCAACAAGGAAATCTAAAGCAGGACAAAGGAATCCATATGACAGAAGAAACGCTTTTATGTGGGTGGGAGGATCATTTCCTGAGGAACACACACCTGAATGAGGTAAGGGGGAAAGGCATATGATCCTCCTTCTTATAATTGGTCTCAATTTTCATGCTAAAGCAAATGTTAAATGTAGGTTAAATGCAAGATGGCAGTTCATTTGTATGTTTTTACCTGCTGTACACCAGGAACTTGGCTTCCCTTATGTCAAGTAATCCTCCCAAGAGTTGTACCCCATTGTTGTTTTATGATTTATGGAAGAGGAAACAGATCAGGCCCACAATAGTTGTCATCAGAACAAAGATCCAAACTCAGCCTACCCTGCACTCATCGGAGCATATTAAACTGTCCCCCAACATCTTTAGTTATTGAAGCATCCCAAAGGCCCAGAACAAAAGTTAGCTTTGTTTTATCTAAGGCAATGTCACTATATAGTGTTACACTGTGAGCATACAATTGTTGCTTGAATTGCACATGCCATGTTGGAGTTGTCACTAAGTGTGGAATCATGAAATAATGACGTTTTATTATATTGCTAAGATGCTAGTTCCACTCTGCAAGTTCTCAGCTGAGCATTTTATAGTTGGAAATATTTATATGAAAAGGACACAAACTGGAATGTGTCATCAAAGTGTCAGAAAGGCACTCTCAAGAGGTAACTTGCTTAGCCTTCGATTCCTTCTACAGTGTTCTGAGACACTGAATAAACGACTCAGGCTGAGTGCAGCCCACCACACTTTCTCTTAGTTTTGTGCTACATTGCTCTATTCTTTGGTCTTTTTTTTTTTTCAACTTCTTTCAACTTCTTTTGCTCTAAATAAGTTTTCAGACTGGTGCTCTCATATGCTTAGTAAGATAGTCTTCATTATTTTTCTTTCCTTAAGTCATAGCCACCCTGGGAGGTATATTTATCTCTGAGTGGGCTGAATGATGTATCCTTGTTCTGAATCTTACTGAACTGCAGATTGCTGACCAAAATTGATTTAAAATGCATATGACCTAATTTTTAAACAAAGAGAGAGCAAAAGAAATAATAATTTTAATTAGATCTTTCCTAGGTAGGTTTTTTCAGATATGTTACTGAGAACTTGAATGCAAACAACTATGATAAATGAATCATTTGGTTCTCTTTATGCCTGATAATCTAGATATAGATGAATGCACTGTGCCTCCATACTGCCACCAAAGATGCGTGAACACACCAGGTTCATTTTATTGCCAATGCAGTCCTGGATTTCAGTTGGCTGCAAATAACTATACCTGTGTAGGTAAGCACTTTGGGAACTGTTATCCTGGCTGATTTCTCTGTTTAGATAACCCCATGCCACAGTTTGGTATTTCCAGTTTCCATGTTCTTGAAAGCACTGGTTTCCATCACTCTCCTTAAACAATCATGAGGCTGAAAAGAAAATAATCTATTTCTTAAAACCATCAAGCTGTAAATGGAAAACATTTTTAACTTTGCTTTTAGTTCTCCTACATGGGTATGTCAAAAAAGAAAACTTCTAAACTATAGCTCAATTGATATACACACACACCAGTGTGAGCTATAAATATTGAATGTGCCAAAGGGGTTACTGGAAGTTCAAATACATAAACTTTCCACTGAAAGCACATCAGATTTTTATATTCTTCTTCTCCTCTTTAGATGCAATGTCACGCCACACAATTATAAGATTGGCATGACATGGAAAGAATCTAGTGCAAAAAAAATGCCTTTTCACAATATTTTCAGTACCTCAGAGCATTGCACAACTCAGTATGGGTCTCAAAGGCTTATGTTATAATTGTAATGGAATTTAACAGAAACCATTTAAAAAGTAATAAATAGCACAGATAAATCTTCACCACAGCATGCTGAGAGACCGTATCAGTACGAGTGTCTTATATCAATTATTTATAGTATTGGCATTTTTTTGTTGTTTTGTATTTGACACAACAAAGGAAAATAGCTATGGGAATGTACTTCTACTGGAAGCATTAAATTATTTTGAGAAGATTCAGCAAACATAAAACTGTCATTCCTAAAAAAAAAAAAAATCTGGTATTTCTCAAAGAAGTAAATGACAGACATTTGAAGTTGTTCCAACAAATGTGAAACTGAATTGATGTTCTCCAGCAAGCTTCTGCAGGGTAAAAAATTCAGCTAGGGAATTACTTATCATCAGATGATATAGGTACAAAGGAACAAGAACACACTTACGCATATAAATATATATATAAAACTTTTCCCTTCAGATATAAATGAATGTGATGCCAGCAATCAGTGTGCTCAGCAGTGCTACAACATCCTTGGTTCATTCATCTGTCAGTGTAATCAAGGATATGAATTAAGCAGCGACAGGCTCAACTGTGAAGGTAAAATACTCTCCAAATAACAAATAAGAAAAAAATACAGTGTATGTCTTTCTGATGCTTCATTTCATTGTGTTACCTGTCAGTGAAAAAAAAAAAAATGTTAACACAAGGAAGTTCGACTGCAAGATTTAGTTACTTTGGTTCAATTATAACAATGAATTGAATATTACCAAGAGAAGGAGAAGAAACAAAATGGTTAAAATATCAGGTACAGTCTGGGCCTGCTCATTGGAAAGGGTGCTCTGGTGCCATATGTCCAAGCATGATGTGACGTTCAGCAGCATCAGCACTTCACAACTGCCTGTGAGCAATGGGCAGAGTCTCGGGCACCAGCCCTAACTCTGAAAGTCAGAATCTGCATTTCATATGAACACCAGATGACAGGAGTGCACAATTAAGGTTGAGAACAGATGAAGGCACATCATAAACAAATAACTAAAAACAAGACCTGTGGCTCTTGATCTTATTCCTATGAGTCTCAAGCATGGTTCTTAAGCTGCTTAGGCTTCCCCTCCCATGAGAAAAAACAGGGCCATTTAGCTGGATGGATAACCTTCAGCCTCCATTGCATGTGCATCTTCTCTCTGTCACTCAAAAGGTATAGGACACCCTGAGAGAGGTGTCATACATATTTGATGTCCCTGTCTTGCTCGTGGCTCCTATCAGCTTTACTTGGAGCCACGAAGGCCAACGACCTCACTTCAGGCCATTTTGCTTGGCTCTGAGAGCAGACTCTGCTTTTTTGAGCAAACTACCAGGGCATTCCCATTCAGAAATGCAAAGCATCATTTTCACACTGAAGCCTTATTCTGCCATCATAGCAACTCTGGAAAGTTTCAGGGACGGGACTTGGAGTTCAAAGCTCAGATGAACTTAGCCTCAGAGTCACCCAATTTCTGAGTAGGCAAGCATGAATCTACATCCTGGGTGGGTCTGCAGAGCCCAATGCGAAGTGTCAAATATAATCCAATTAATTCACTCTGTTTGGCTGGTAAAGCTGGGCCCAGAATTAGCCAACCCATCAGCAATGATTCAGTAAAATTGATGGTGAGAGAAGCTCTTTGTGTTTTAAAGTTATAGAGGGAAATTAGTTACTAGAATAGAATAAATACAAGATAACATCTTGTATTTCTGTTTCAGAATTTGTGATATTTTTACTCTCTTTAGCTCATCTAAAGAAAATGACAAAAATAGTGATATATAAGCTTTTCAACTCTGTTCCTTCTCTTGCCTGATCCAACAGACATTGATGAATGCCAAACCTCAAGCTACCTGTGTCAATATCAATGCGTCAATGAACCTGGGAAATTCTCATGCATGTGTCCACAAGGATACCAAGTGGTGAGAAGCAGAACATGCCAGGGTAAGTTTCTTGCTGTCACAGATGTTGTTTCTGTCTTAATTAAGAAGAGTAGGAAGGAAATTAATAGAATTTTGTATCATAGACTTTCATTTTGTTTCTACTCTGAATAAAAAATCTGAGATCCTTCTTCTACTGATCTGCTCACCATGATATATATACACATCTCACAAAAAGATTGGGAGGCTGACACTGAGGCATAAAAAGGTAAGCTACCATCTGTGATATTGGCATCCCATATGGGCACCAGTTTGAGTCCTGGCTGGTCTACTTCTAATTCAGTTCAGTACTAATGACCAGGAAAAGTAGTAGAAGATTCCCCAAATATTTGGTTCCCTCCACCCATGTGGAAGATAGAAATGAAGCACCAGCCTTCTGACTTGGGCCTGACCCAGCCCTCATCATAACAGCCATTTGGGGTATAAATCAGCAGATACAAGATGTGTCTCTTTCTCTTTCTCTTTCCCCCTCTGTCTCTGCCTTTACCTCTTTTTCTACAATTCTGCATTTCAAATATATAAATCATTTTTTAAAAAGTGAACTAACAATGACTTTTTAAACTTAAGCAGTAGACTTTATTATCAGTAATTTTAGTAAGATGTACATGTCCTTTTTATATAGCCTACATAATCTCTTTGATATAGATCTTCTAATCATTTATCAGCAAAGAAAGTATTTTTTAAATATGTCATCATGCACTTGGAGCCTAAGCTTAATGTGTGAATTAGCAGCACACTTTATGCCAGTTTAAGTTTTCTAAAATACCAATATTATTGATTATGTAGTAATTTAGATCTTGAGGAAAATCATCCTAATGTGTATTAAAATGAAAATTAATGTTTCTGAATTCTTCAAAGAAAAAAACCATTGATGCAGAAATAGCTAATACCTTGCATTCCAGTTTCAAAAGAAACTCTCAGTAATCTTCATAACAACCCATAAGCAGAGGAGGCATCTCTCTTACTGGTATGATTTCCAAATCTCCCAAAAATGTGTACTCTTTCCTCACCTTCAATGTCACATGTAGTTTAAAAATGTCTTAACACAAAATACTGTCAGGTAATACAAAACACGTAGACAATCCTGAAAGGCTAGTACAAATACTTAAGTTTACACAAAGTAGTAGAAGAGTATGAAAACAAAACAAAAAACATGTAAATGAACTTGAGGCCAAAAGATTTACTTGAATCCTAGCTTTTCTCTGTAATCTGCAACAAATTGTCAGACTTCATCAAACTTTATCTAATCCTCATCCTTCTCATTTGATAAAGGGTGCTACAGAAATGAAATGTAATACCATGTAAAAATAATTAGTAAACGAAGCCTGTACAAGTCAAGATGTCTTTATTTAAAATATTTAACAATGTAATTGACTAACAGTCAAGCTTCCCTAAAGCTTCATTAAATTAGATTTGGAAAGAGACATATAACAAAGCAAAAGACCAAGGAAAGGAGACACTGGGGAGATTCGATCTGTATCTTGATTGTTACAGGAAAATATGGACTCAGAGGAATATCCATGACTTAGGATTTCAAGATATACATATGATTATTCAACTAGTCTCAAGTTACTAGATAGGAGCATAATCATGTCATTTATTATACAATGAACATCTTTGTAATACTTTCCAACTTAATAGAGACTGAAAGTTTTAATTGTGGGAAATATTGCATTCCAAATGGGCCCACTTACTGAACCCTAATTGAAGTTTTAACATGAATTAGCCAGTGAGAGGTGTATCTTAATTTTCCATAGCCCTTCAAACAACTATCTATATTCTGATTATAAATGAATTTTATGCTCAGAGAAGGAGAGAAGCAAATTAATGTGCAATGGTGGAATCTTACCTGCCATTGTCTATGTCTGAGAATATTTATGTCTGTTATAATTAAAGGTAAGAAAAGCATTGAAATTTCAAAGGGGGAGGTTGATGACTGTCAATGGTTGAAGACATGCAACTTCAGAATGTTTAGTTAAGTCAAGACATTTTGTTATGGAAGAGATTTGCATTTTTTTGAGTTAAAAAAATGCTTTTTCTTATTGAAACAATCCCTTCTGAACTTTGTCAACAAGCATAAAGTAAATTGAAAAGGTTTGGATTCTTGCCTCCCTCCAACAGGAGGGGGATATTGGGGATGAAATAACTCCTCTCATTTCCAAAGGCAAAAATGAACACACTTAGGGTGGAGGCAGGGAAAAGCCAAGATAGAGACAGAATAACATACACATAAATGCAGGCTCCTCAGATATCTGAATAGCCCTACTTTGTGAAAAATGTCCAGAATAATTAAAGTATTGGTTATTCTATGCTCCAAATTAATGGAAGTAATAAGTGAAATTATAACAAAGTTTCCTTTGGTTGCTTTGGACTCCATACAACCAATCTTAGTTTTCCCTATAGCTAAACAGCATCTTTTTCTTGAGGTATAAAATAGTGAAAACCAATTGTTGTTTCTTTGGAAGAGTCTGAGTTTTCTCCCTTCTGCCGGGGCCAGTCCAAGAAGACACTTCTTGTAACTCTTAGAAACTGCACAGCTTTTCCAGTCTCCTCATGAGTTCCAGATAAAAAACAGTCAGTTGATGGCTAAAAGACATTTTTTTCCCCAAACCCAAGACATGCAATGATTTTTAGAGTACCTTGCAATGGAAAGATGCCAGTCTCAAACTGTATGAACTTGAACCAATAAGCCACTTAATTCTAATGTACTTTCTTCCACAGTAATAAGAGAATATGATATTTGTCTCACCCATATCCACAGAGTTTGGGTGAGGAACAACTTAGTTGAATTTAATATTCTTTAAACATCATGTGCCCTAGTGCAGTAACACTAGTCAGGGAAGGGTAAACTGAAAAGAACAATAGCTTCTGTGCTAGAGGAATTTATAAGCTAATAGAAAAATTGACACAGATGCAAATTCCAATAATGCAAGGTAAAAAGTAATAAACACCCTATAAGAGAAACATGAAGTATAAGAATCTGAAAGAAATCATATCCCAGCATGTTGGTCACACCAGATATGCAACAAGGATGAGCAAATTAATGAACTAAAAGGGGAGGGAATAAAACAGAATGGAATGAGGAAATTAACGAATTAAAATATTCCATCATGGGGAAGGAATGAAGCAGCAAAGACTCATGTTGGATAAAACATCAATGATCACCCAAAAATGAAGGGAAGGCTATCAAGTAAAACTGTTCTCTCAGATGTAATTTAGAAATTTCTAATTCCAAAATCAAAAAATCAATTCTTGTCCAGCATGCCCTAGTCATAGTCCTCTTACTGGGACTCTGTACTGCTCTGTCTTATTTGACACCTTTTCCTGACACCACTTCTTAACTCCTCTCCTGCTACATAGTCCTTAACAGCCATACTCCACAAGGTAGAACCTTCTACGCTTCACACTTCTTGGGCTGTGCTGCCCCTCGACAGTGTAATCCACTCCCAGAGAACCACTCTCTGCTGGAATGTTGTAGCCCACTAAAACCACGTTTCTTCCTTTCTTCTCTCTCCCTGGCTTCTGAGACATGATTAGCTGCCCTCCTCACAGTTTTTGCTTGCTGCTTTCTCTGCCTGAACAACCTTTTCAGTCCCATTCATGAAACTCCATCTACCTGATACTAATTATTTATTTATTTATTTATTTTAGTGTTTTCCATGATGCACGTTTGTAGGTATACAGATTCACCCCCACTTCCCCTTCCTCTCTTCCCATTCTCCACCCCAATTACTTCCCTCCATATTACTACAATAGTATAGTCCTTCAACAACAATTGCAAGTCCAACATTCGGCTAAAGCCAAGTTGAGGTGCCTTTCCTAAGCCTCCTGGCAGATTTAATTAATTCTGCTTTAAATCCTCCATCACACTTATCTACTTACTTTTTATTTAATTCGATCTTAGTTTAGAAGTAAGGAACTGTTGGTGTTTCTTTTTATAATAAGAAGCAGAGTTTATACTTAGCATTTGCCTTCAAATTCACAAATGAAGAAAAGGGGTTTCATAAAATGTCATGAAGTGACACTTATTAATCTTGTAGAGTGGCTTAACTAAATTTGGTCCACTCAGATTCCAGTCTTGTATATGAAAAATTAACACAGTCTAGATTGCCACACAGCTTTACTTGCAAACCAGAATCTGCCACTTAACACAATTTACATAAATCAGTAAAATCTTTGTCCCTGTATCTCTACAGATATAAATGAGTGTGAGACCACACACGACTGTCGGGAGAATGAAATGTGTTGGAATTATCATGGTGGCTTCCGTTGTTACCAAAGAAATCCTTGTCAAGATCCCTACATCCTAACATCAGAGAAGTAAGAAACACCACCAGAGTTTTTGAAAATTAGGTTATTGTTCTAGTCTTTTCAAGCCAGACTGGTGAGTTACTTTTGTTTGTTTCTGCAGCCGATGTGTTTGCCCTGTCTCAAATGCCCTGTGTCGTGATCTGCCCCAGTCAATAGTCTACAAATACATGAGCATCCGATCTGACAGGTCGGTGCCATCAGACATCTTCCAGATCCAGGCTACAACTATTTATGCCAACACCATCAATACTTTCCGGATCAAATCTGGAAATGAAAATGGAGAGTTCTACCTAAGGGTAAGTATCCTGAAAACCACATTAGCCATTGAGAAAGGTAGTATTTTGCTGTGGTTATTGTTGTTGAGCAGCATTCACATAAAAGGAAAGCTGACATTTAAGGAGCTTTACGTGCAGATGTAGCATCTCATTTAATCATCTTGGTAACACTCTTACCAAGATACCAATGTTGATCTTTTCTTTTTTACAGAAGAGATGAATGAGATTCAGAGAGCTCAATTGGCCTCCCTAAAGTCAGACACTAAGCTACAAATTCTATTGTAATTTTGTGTGACTATCAAAACAAAAGTCTGTACGTACACACATACCCTAAATAAGTGCCACAAATCACAAGTCAGCAATATGTAATTATACATAGAAAACAGTAATTCTGCAGAGATTTTCAGGAATGATTAATTCCTTATTGTTAAATGCATAAGGGAGTTTAATTCAAATCATCTTAAAGCCCTAATGCCTGTGTCTCTGAAAGGTGGCCTACAGTGTGCTGTCACCTGTGTCCTTTCTTTGGCCTTGATTGCCTAGATGCAATCTTGCTTCTGAATTCTGCCATTCCTCTGTTTATAGTATCTTCAGGGTTATCATTGCTTCCCATACTGCCTCTCCTCCGTTAATCTGCCCCTGTCATCTCCCTAACTCCTTCAGTGATTTCCAGGTTAGTTTTCCTGACTGCTGTGACTCAGCCCTCAGTCTGCTCTACAAAACCTTAGTAGGTTTGTTTTAAGCTTTAAAATACAGATCTCCGTCTCAGTGAGCATGATGGCGCCTCACCAAGCAGTTTGCAAAGTTATGGTAACTGGTTCATCAAGGATGTTATTGATTCAGTTACAATGTTTGCAAAACTCCTTTGGGCACTCTTCACTTTTAATCAAATTTTAAAGTCAATATTTCATTTTGAAAATGTGAAAATAAATTGAGAAATTCTTCCTTGTGCTAAAGCTTACAGATTTTTAAATGTTTACATGTTTATCCTGTTCTTTGGTATATTAACTTCCCTTCCAGCTCCAGTTACATGATTCCATTTCTTTGCCAGTAAATTAGAAATGATTAATTTCTTATGATCAACTCAAGAGAAAAATGCAACCTAAAATAAAAGATGATTAGATTTATTCCAATAAGAAAAAAGCAAACTTTTTTAACCCATTAAGCCCCAAGTTTTCAATTATGCGAACATTTCAACACTGTACTTATTTTAAAGCTACCATGAATGATATATGTAAAGTGCAACATAACCCTCATGGATGTCCTATATTTGGGATGTTGGGAATAATATTGATATTTTAAACTGGAGACATGCTGGATATTTGTAAGAAACTTCTTTTAAAAAATGTCCACTGAAATTCAGTTGAGCAAAGGGTATTTAATGCATAGAAATCAACTAATAGGCATAAGGAAACATGTACTGAGTGCTCAACTCCATGCCAGGTGCTGTGATGTCAAAAATACCTGAAGTGCGCACCTCCAGATTTCAAAAAGCCTTAACAATTCCTTATATATCATATACAGCAATTCCATAGTTTACCAGCTACAGAAAAAGAAACCACAATTTTTACGCTATGGCCTAAAGACATCAAAACCTAACATAGGTTAATATAGTCCAAGAGGGATTATTTTCAAAATATTTTATTTTTTTTTTTAATTTTGCTTGAGAGAGAGAGAGAGAGCTATAGAGATAGAAAGATTAAGCTATCTTCCAGCTGCTGGTTTACTCCCTAACTGTTGAGACCAGGAGCCCAGAAAGTAATACAAACATCCCATATATGTACAGGAACTCAAGTACCTGAGCCATCATGTGAAACTGCACAAGGTTTGCATTATTAGGAAACTGGGTCAGAAGTACAGTAGTCTATTTATTTCCAAAATTTATTCATTTTAAATTATTAGAATTTACTGAATATTTAAATACTTTTTAGTTTTAGCCAGGACTAGAACCAGGTATCCCAAGATGAAGTTCAGCTATCCTAAGCAGTGACTTTACTGCTATGTTAAAGCCTGTCCCAAAGAGGTTTTTTGCTAGTCCCGACAGTTGGTCTGATCCTTGAAAATTATGTGAGATATGGTATTCTATTAATATTCCTTTTGAAAGCATGTTTTAAAAAACTTCTTCCCTCAAAGGGGACATATTGTCAAGAAGCAGTAAGAGTAATGGTAAAGCATTGTAATATCTACCCCTCCAAAAAGAACTATGTCCCTTTACTGGTTCTTATTTTTGTTTATAGCCCTATCATTACCTAGAGCATTGTTTTTACTTTCATCCACCAGAATATAAGACAAATGAGAACAAAGGCTTTGCCTGCTTGTTCATTATTCTTTTACTTTATAGACTTTACTTATTTGAAAGGCAGAGTGGCAGAAAGAGAGACAAGATTGAGGGAGAAAAGAGAAGAAAGAAAATCTCCCAGCTGCTGGCTCACGTCAAATAGAGATGGAGAGAGAGATCTTCTATCAGTTGGTTCACTTTCCAAATAGCCACAACAGCCAGGACTATAGCAAACTAAAGCCAAGATCCTAGAACTCCATCTTCAGTAACAGTGGTCAAAGTACTTAGGCCATCTTCCTCTGCTTTCTCAGACTGTTTAGCAGGGGGACAGACTGGAAGCAGAGCAGCTTTGACTCAGTCTTACGGGATGCCAGCATCGCAGATGGTGCTTAATCCACTGCACTGCAATGCTAGTCCCTCAACAAAATATTTTTAAGTTAATTCAGTCAATATCTTTGCATATTGATTCAATTAAGTGCTTATAATTATTGGTGACAATTATGAATTAGTATGATCTACATCTCTCAGTTGCAGGAGACACGAACCATGGAAGATACTGGAGACAAAACAGTGTGTTGGGATTGGGTAAAATTACTAAAAGGAGAAGATACAAAAGAACTAAATTATGAAGACATTTGATCTGGCACTATCAGAACCATCCCACACCTCAATCTACCATTTTCTGGCCATCTTATCCCATATAATCTTAAACTTCATTCCACTTCACCATCAAACCCAAAAGTTACGCCCTGGGCTTTATGATGATTCAGAAAAGCTTCATAAGGAAATCTTGTCCCCAATGTCCTATTCAATCACTGACTCTCCATCCTCTTTTGCCCTCCCTTTGCTATTTACCTTCAATGTAATGTTAGTTATCTAACCCCCTAGACTTATTTTTGGTGGTCTATAAACATTTTTTTGAAAAAATATGTATTTATTTGAAAGTATTTATTAGAAAGAGAGAGAGAGAGACAGAGAAAGAGAGAGAGCGCTTCCATTTCCTGACTCATTCACCAGATGGACACAATGGCTAAGATTGAGCCAAGCCAAAGTCAGGAGCCAGGAGCTTCTTCCAGTTTTTCCACATGAGTGCCAGTTGCCAAACATTTTGACCATATGACACAGCTTTTCCCAGGCTATTAGAGGGAGCTGGATTGGAAGTGGAGCAGTTAGGACACAAACTGGCACCTATATGGGTTGCTGGCAATACAGGGACTCTTTACCCACTATTCAAAAATGTTGTTACCATATCAACTTCTTAGTGGACACTTGAAGTACTGTGCCATCATAGTAACTGTGGGACGATCCTAATTCATTCGTATTTTCCTATCTAGTTTGCCATTAGCGCTATCTTATTCTTATTCTCCAACTTTAGAAAAGTTCTCAGTAAACTCAGTAATCCCATTACTTTCTTATTTCTTTAATTCCATATTTTAGTCCCTAGTCATGAATGTCCCAATACTCCTTTATTTTCTGTAGACTACCTTACCTCTTACTCTTCTGAAACTACTGAGACCAGTGTGCATGGATTACCCAAACTTTCCATCCACCAGCACCACACATAATTCCTCCCCCTTACTGTTTTTACTGATTTCCAAAAACAGCTTCACTTCCATCAATCAAGGCTAACCCAGGACCTGAATTCTTCATTCTATCTCCTCTGGGATCTTGCCCATGAGATTCTCCTCTATTTTCTATACATTTTTCTTGCTTCTAGATATTGCCTTTTCTTTCTTCCTATAGACAGTCTGTAACTATGATCTGAAACGCCTCACTTCTTAAACACTTCTCTGTCTTCTTTCCCCACTACCAGACTAAAGTTTCTTTAAACAAACAAAAAAAAAAGCCGGTAATAATATCCTTTCTGCTATATCCAAGGGGACCTTGTAGTTGCAATCATCTTTACCCTCCCCTCTTTCTATTGGACACACGTTCACCTCTTTCCTAAGGAGTCATCATTTCTTTCAGCTTCTGTCAAAACAATTTTCCTTCAATGTTGTCCTTTCCAAAACCTCCCTTGGCTAAATGTGCAGTCCTTGGGGTGACTGGGAAATCCTAATCCGTGTCTCTGTCCCTTGGCAGCCAGACTCAAATGTCTACATGCTACTCAAACCTCACATCCTTCAACACTCCAGTACCATCGTATTCTTCACCAAAAGGAAAATACATCCAACTTTCCTGAATGTACTACTTTACAAAACTTTCACTTCTCTCAGTGACTCTCTGTGGCCATTCAGGAGCAGTGTTTCAGGGTTCCTCCTCTTTTCCCTATGAACATATACCCTCATATATCTCCATAGAGCCTAACACTCATTACATCCTGTTGTGAGGTACATAGATTTTCACCTACAAGAATACAAACAAGTACACAATGTTGAAAAAGTGTTGTGTGTCCATTTGAACAATCAGATTCCAGTCTGAAATCTAGTCTCTAATGGCTGGAGCTACTCAATAAAAGAGAAATGTCAACACAGAGAGGAATATAAAACAAACAGCTTTCAAAAACAAGTGTCTGTAACTTGGAGCTGGTGACTTTGGTTGGATAAGGGGTAAGAAGCAAGAAGACTTGATACCAGACTACTTACTGTAAGACTAATTACAGCCTCTTTTATCACACCCTCAAAATTCTTTTCCTTATTCTTACAGGAATTATATCATAAATACTAGGCACTCTAAGAAAATTTACTCTTTCAACCTCTTTTTCTTGTATTTTAGCAAACAAGTCCTGTCAGTGCAATGCTTGTGCTCGTCAAGTCCCTAACAGGACCAAGAGAATATGTCGTGGACCTGGAGATGCTGACAGTCAACAGTATAGGAACCTTCCGCACAAGCTCGGTGTTACGATTGACAATAATCGTGGGGCCATTTGCATTTTAGTCTCATATAAGAACCCATCACAGGCATTTTAAATCAGCCAAAGAATATTGTTACCTTAAAGCACTATTTTATTTATAGACATATCTAGTACATCTACAGCTATATACTGTACACTCACCCATAATTCAAACAATTACACCCTGGTATAAAGTGGGCATTTAATCTGTAAAGATTTTCAAAGTTTGTCTTCATTATTGAATGTAAATTAGACATTAATCCACTACACTGGTCTTCTTCAAGAGAGCTAAGCATAAACTATCCAATGAGACTTGGATTCTTTCCTGTAAAAGTAGACTGAAAAATGAAGATCTTTCATGGTACTTAAGGAACCTTACATAGCTGCACCGACAGTCTCCTAGGAGACAGCCACCATACACTGAAGAGCATGCAAGGGCAAGGAGATTTTCAACTGCTTTGTAAGAAAATGGGGAAAGTCAATAAAGATATATTTCTTTAGAAAACGAAGCTCTACTGCATTTGTGTTGGTCTTTATTTTCAGGATCCATCTGAAGAAGGTTGATTTCACATAGTAATGCAACACTATTATACAATATGATGGCTACTTTAGGATATTTTTAATTTTGTAAGAAATGATCATGAAAAAGAGAGTAAGCAAACTTTTGTAAAATTCCAAAAATGAATTAAGCATTCTCTAGAAAATGATTGTGATGCAATATCTATGGGGATGAGATGAGAAAATAAATTCTTCCCAAATCACATTGTGTACCTGAAGAAACAAATTCAGCAAAGGTAATAATATCTCTGAATTCAGTACTTCCATGTGGAGCAAAGTAGAAGAAAAGGTATTTTGTTGGGAAAGTTTTAATTTCTAAGTAAAATTATAATCTTAAACTTCATTCATTTACAATGAGCTTTTTCAGTCTTTGTACTCAATTCACAGAGGAAGAAAATGATAGTTCCTATTCCAGGAAATCAGGAGTGACAATGAATTTAAACAAATTACTCTCCCTTTCAATCATATGAAAAGCTTTTAAGTCTTATTTGTTTAAAATGTAACTGTCTTACTTTGGTATGCCATAATTTTAAGTAAAAATAAATATGATTTTAAAAGATCACCCAATCTTTGAAGATTTTTCAGGCAGCTATAATCACTAATATAATTTTCTATCAGGGGAAAATCAGTTATAACTGTCAAAGAAATAATTTCATTAATTTTTTTATATAAATGCAAAATCTCAGAGATGAGAAAACAAAAAGGCTATTAAAGTAACCCTGGGACAGGTTGGGGGTGGGGATAACATGCTACCATCTTTTATTACATCCAGTTTCAAAACATAAATGAATATCACATCACCAGGTAACCTTTCTTGTAAAACAAAACTCTTGAAGAGTTGACTAGCTATGTAGGAACTGTCAAAAAAAAAAAAGTCCACCAAGAGACCAATGACCAAAACACAAGCTCCTCATTTGAGAAGGGGGCACCTTATAAGGGAACAGAACTCTTGGACAGAGAACAGGGCACAGGGCAGGTAAGGGAGCAGAGCAAACAATTGGCCACACACAGCAGGATTGTAGAGTTCCGCCCTTCACCCTGTCCACAGTATTACTGCTGTCCAAGTAACAGTTTGAGTTGAATGTGCTTCCCTTTTCAATCTACTTACTTTCCTGCATATGGACAGAGCTCTTGAGTCAGCACTGGGAAAGGTAATGTCACAAAAATGAAATAAAGTCATGGCCTTCCTCCAACAAATTTTCCACACTTAAGAAGGTGGGAGCTTGTCAATAGCTCCCCAGAGGATTGTAGAAGAAATGGGAATTTCTAGAATATTTATGAATGGGACCTATCCCCCGGCCTCTCCCTCACTTTCAAATACTGTAAATAAATTCTAGACCTACAGAAACCATGGGCTAATGGCAATATAGTTGCCTTTTTATCCCAAAGTCCAGTCTTCTTCACAAATCACAAACACATGAAAGGGTTGGTATGCTAAAGTGTCACTGACACACAGTCCTTTTTTAAATTGCGGTAAAATACATATAAAACTTAAAATTTAGCCATTTAAAAATATGGATGTCAGTGTTACTTACTATCACTGATTAATTGTGCAAACATTACTATTATCCAGTTTTGTAATGCTTTCATCACACAAAAATCAACCCCATTCCTAATAGCAGTGGCTCCTTTTCCCATCAGTCCCATGAATCTTTCTGCCTACAGATTTGCCTGTCCTGGAGATTCCATATGAATAGAACCATACAGTATATGGCCTTTTGTGTCTGGCTTCTTTCATCTAGCATGACGTTTTAAAAATACACTCGTTGAACAATGTATCAGAACTTATTTTCCTTCTATCCCCACAAAGATGTACCACCTTCTTTCTATCCATACATTAGTTCATGGATGCCAGTAGTTAACACCTGCAATTCTTTTTTATCTTAGCTTCAAAAAGGAAACAAACTCTTGGTCAAAATCCATTCATTTCAACCCTGCTTACTATCATTTTTTAACTTAAAAAAAAGCAAATTAAAACACTGTATTTTATTTACTGGAGCAAAAACCTGGAAAGAACACTGAAAAGCTAACACATCAGTTTCTTTAACACACACAAAAAAAACACCTCATGCCCTGTTTTTAATGTAATTTGAAATTCAAGAGAAATATTGTGGCCGAAGCAGTAAGACAAAGCTCTGCTTTGCTCTCAAACTACACATGACTCTCTCCTCTCCTCCATGAAGATCACTGATTTAAACCGCGGGCAAAAGTCATCATTAGAATCACTGATATTTCATTTCCTTAAAACACATTGTCTGAGAAACTTTTACAGTCATCTCCTCTAAAATCTAACAATGTAGAGTAATACAGAAAAATCAGCATTCTGGTACTAGTTCTAACATAAACCAGCAGAGAGATCCTGGCCATTACTTAGTTTCTAAGTATCTTGGTTTTCCCCTCTTTTGTTCATTCTTTAAACAAAGAGCTTTTCAATTTTAAAGAATGAACTAATCTCTCCTCCATGGATGCTATGAGAGAGGGGACAGCTTTATTTTCCAGTATTTGAAAGCATCTGAGGAACATTTCTATGCAATGGCTACTAGGAAACCTTAGGCCTTGGTATGAGAAACAAATAAGTAGTTCCCATCTCAAAACAAATATTCACAATGTGGGCTTGTTATTCTAGAGGTGGATGTGAGACCTAACCCAATTTGACTCCAAGGTTTTTTTTTTATTGCAATTAAAAATATGTTGTTTTAATTTTCATTTGATTGAAATATACATGATTTTGTTCCTTCTCACTGATACTAACTGAAACATGATTACTCATGCTAAACTGAAAGTCATGTTACCTTGTTTCACCAGAGGGAAAAAGGGTCAGTCATGGGTTCCCACATTTTCAAACATACTTCCAGGAAAATGCCTATGTTTTTATTCATGGAACCTCAGTAATGAGGCCTGACTCACATGTTCCCATCACTCAATTCTAATGCCTCTGGCCTTGGCTCTGAGACTCCTACTCCCTAACTGGACAATTGTTCTCCAGCAGTAGTTAGGAAGGGCCTCTTGGTGGTTAAGCCCTCCCCAAAAGGAGAATAATTCCATTCAGCTGCCAAATTTCCCTCTTATGTAGTCAGACAACTTGAAATTTCCATCCCCTCCAAACATGTTAAATATGCTTTTCAAAATAATGGCATACTCTTTTTTCAAATGATAGGATTCTACAACTTAACAAGGTTTTGTCATTTCTGCTCAATTTTAAAATTTGCAGTTTGTCAAACAAGACCATTGTGCCTACAATGCAGGTCATAAGATGTTGATTACAGCCCTTCCCATTGCCCTCACCCTAAGAGGCAATCTCTTTCCTTCCCAGTTTTTACATGTATATTACCCGTTCCACATCATGAGCCTGCTTTGCTGGTTGCATGACCAGTTGTCACTTTGTTGCATACAGTCAGGGAAAAAAAATGCAGTGACAACTGGATCCTCAGTTTCTTAATTGGTTCTCTTTAATTCCTAAGAAGCACAAGTGATTGTATTGTGCAAAACATTTTCAAACTCTAGACATTGAAACCCCAGGACCAATCAAGTATACCTTATTAGAGAAAACCATGACTTGCAAGAGAAAAAAACCAAACCCTACTACTAAAGATCCTAATGGAGTTCTCTGCATCAGTAGCTGTGAAAGTAAGATAGTGGGAGTGAGAGTGAAGATGGAGTAGATGTAACACTTCATTTGGCCAGGAGCTGGACAACTGACTTTCATAGCTCCCTGCCAAAGGATCAGCCTTAGATAAGGGGTTAAAAAAAAATACTGCTATTATTCGAGATTGGCGAATACTCATTAAGTGGTTTTTGAAGAGGCAATTATGTGTACCAAATACATAGAAATATGTATACCAGATGGCTTCTTACTTTAAAGCTTCAAACTAGGTAAGATATCACACTTTATTGTCAAGCTGGTTTTTGATAGAGGTTTTTAGGTCCTTTCACAGCATGTTTGCACAAAAGTACTATAGCCGAGTAAGCATTTTTTAAAATTATGATTTTAAAATGTAAGCATTTGAAGGTAGAAATTAACTTGAAATCAACCTATATGTAATAAGTGTACACATCTCTACAAAACTGCCCTTGCAAGGCTTTGGTGAGACTAAATAATGGAAATAGGTTGTCGAATACCCTAAGGTCACCTGAACACAGCCCAAAGCAATCATTATTTTGGAGGGAATCTTTACAAATAAAAGTTTACTGTTAAATCCTGTTTCCATGACTTCAAGCAGTTGCTTATGTTTTGCATAGCTCTGTACGCCTCTAACATTCTAACTCTCCTTCTAAAATATAGAACAGCTGCTGGTTCCTCATATGTTATGCACACGCAGCCCACAAGGGACAAAGCCCTCCATTAATATGTCGAATTATTTTTAACACACTTATACTTCTCTCCTGAATCATCATCCTGAAAGATGGCAAGTCTCCATCTTCCCAGCTGGGGGGAACACCTGCAGAATACAAACCCAAACTGTGACACAGCTGGTACCAAAAAAGCCAATCTTTTTTTTCATCTGGCTAACAGACTAAAATATCAAAATCGCTGAACAGAAACAAGGCAAAAAGTTAACTGCCTCTTATATGTAGTCAACACAGATGTCTAGTTAAGCTGTTTATATTGTAAGCACATGTGTATGTTAACAGAGCACAGACCCCTATAATAAGCCAAGGCTGGAATATAAACGCAAGAGAATTTTAAAGACCTGAATGTAATAATTCAGGGTTTTTTTTTACCTTCCCCTAGAAACTAGTTTCTGCAGAATCTCAGCATAAACAGATGCTTATAGTATAAATAAATAATTTTGTGGAGTTATTTAGATTCTCCAAATTGTTCGTTTATTTCCTTTAAAACCATATCCAATGTTTTTGTATTGAAATATTTAGATTATCTTGCTTTAAGCAGTAAATTCCTTGCACATGGCTTAAACCAGGTGTTTTAGTTTCCCTTCTCCTAAGCAG